AATTGATTATACTGGAATACCTGGATTTCGTGTACCACCACCTGTGAGTAATAATCCGTATGATTTTTTCAGTTTGCTTGTAACTGATGAATTACTAAATCACATTGTAAATCAAACAAATATTTATGCAAAGGAATTTTTTTAAGTCGTATCACTTCAGCTAAATCCAGAATAACCGATTGGAAACCACTTTTCCTAGCAGAGTTAAAGATTTTTTGTATGTTGTTCGTATGGTTATTAGATGTAGGAGTGACATTTTCGTCTCTGACGACTGGAATATAAGAAATCCCACAAGAATATAAGAAACAATTTCACTCCCAAATTTTACCCCTTATATTAGTTATAATTAAAACAATGTCATTGAATATCTTGTCTCCACCGATTTTCAAGAAAATTTGGATTTAGGTTATACTTATCCTCCACTTTAAAACTGAACTTGTCCCGTTGATTGTATTTAATTTTTTAGGGTTGATTAGAAAAAATCATGTAGAAATAGAAAAAATCATATAGTTGTAAATTTAAGTAATTTGGAATTATTTAAGCAACATTAAATTTAGATTTCTTTACTATTTTAATTTATTACCACATAATTTCTATTCTTATAAAAACTATCCCTTGCAAAGAAATTTAAATAGTTGTAGTATTTTTTTTTCGTTGAAACTATAAATACAATAATTTTTTAAATCAAAATGAATTTATTTTATTTCAACTTAAAAACAATCCGTATAAGTTTGTAAGGATGGTTGAAAGTATGTATCTGCCTTAGTATATGCGTTCTGATATCTCCTAAAATATGTGATTTGATTGGTTTTTACTTATAACTTAGTGGTTTTTAAGCTATAAAGTACTTAAAACTGTTTCAGTTTCTATTGTCTTACAGAAAAACTAAAAAATTCAAAATGTTCAAACAAGCAAAATCTATATTTTTTTATCCTAATTTATCAAAATTATTATCAAAATCTTATTTATAAGTTTTTTCTGATCACTAATATTTTTTAAGTTATTTTAAAAAGAGATATATTTTTTTTTAATTTAAACCTTTTTCTTTTAATTTGAAACTAAATTTTTTCAAAGATAAGTACTTTGAACCAGTCAGTCATACACATTATATAAACAATACATAAATAAAATAAATTGTAAAGCGGTAACGATTATTGTAATTTGGGGTGCTAATTAGTGGGCGGTTTTCACGATGTTTTTACCAAAAAAAAAGGAATCAGCTTTATTTGGAGCGTAACTGGCTTAGTTTTGATGCTCGAAATTAAAAAAAAAAAACAAAACTAACGCTTTTCCGAACTTTTAAAAAGATTGCAGAGTTTTCCCCCAAACGTGCTTAATTTTTTGTTTATTCACGTAAAAATATTTGATTTAGAATTTGGCAAATAAGAACCTACTTTTCATGAGCTACAACTCTGCTTTTACTGAGTCTACACACTTTATAAGTACACAATTTTTGTGTTTTTTGAGTTATTTGTGAAAAATTAACATAAATGTGGTTTTTATTTTGAAAATTAAATATTTTCACTCACAAATAACTCAAAATATATTGACTTAGCGACTAAACTCTATAAAATAAGTGTTGCTTAAACGTATGATTTTTACCTCTTAAGAATTGGTGGCTTTCATCCTCAAATAAAAGCAGCCCTTGGCTCAACTCCAAAAGTGAAGCAGAGGAACCTAAATTTAAATTTTCATTTTCATTTTCATTTAAAAATCCGTGGTGACGAGGAAAATTAAACTCTAAACCAGTCATTTACTGGAATATTTGTAAACAAAAATAATATCGATCAGTAGATAAGAGTTATAATAAAACTTTTAGTGATAATAAATGAAGGTACACATATAAGGAAATCAGCTACAAAAATATTAATGATGAGCAAGAAAATAATAATAAAAAAACGATTTAGATTAAAGTATTTATTGGCAAAAAATACAATTATATAATACCATGTCACGCGGCCAGCCAAATTTTTATTAGTCAACAGCCCGTAAAGGGAATAATCAACGACACTTACTCGGTACAAGAATATACTTTACTCCTGACAATGACACTTGGTACAAGGTAAACCGAACATTATACTTGATCATACATATAAAATCAATATACTTGAGTTATAACTTCATCTGACTACCAAGATGCTTTTGTTTAGATGTTTCGTACTTACATATGAACTTAAATTTCTGCAGGAATAGAAAAATTAAATATTAGGTGTAGAATATAGTACTATAGAGATTAAAAAATATTTTTGTTAAAAAATTTTGTAAAAATCCTTTGTATAAGGTATATATATATATATATATATATATATATATATATATATATATATATATATATATATATATAATATATGCATTGTATATATATATATATATATATATATATATATATATATATATATATATATATATATACGAATATATAGTACTACGAATAGTAAACACGAATGCTACTACATAGAAACTTTCAAGCTATTATTTTACCAAAAATTTAATGTTTTGACCACAGTTAACAAAGGGAATGGTGTGTTTGTTTAACACCCTTTATTCTTCACTCTACATTCGTAAGTTAATTTTCCATGTTTTTGTATAATATTACCTACCATCATTGTAATATTTTTTAGATTTGAACTGATGAAGCTTGTGAACACCACAAGCGAAACGTCTTCAAATATAAGAATGGAACTGTGATTTCCTTGTATTATTTCTCCTTTGACCGATATCCTCGTTGATCAAAAGAATTTTTCTTTTGAAACTTACTGCATTGAATAATTCTTTGACGGTCGTACTCCTTTTTGCGATATATATATATATATATATATATATATATATATATATATATATATAAAAGAAAAATGTTTAAAATTAAAAAAAATATATCTGTTTTTAAAATAACTTAAAAAATATTAGTGATCAGAAAAAACTTATAAATAAGATTTTGATAATAATTTTGATAGATTGGGATAAAAAAATATAGATTTTGCTTTTCTGAACATTTTGAATTTTTTAGTTTTTCTGTAAGACAATAGAAACTGAAACAGTTTTAAGTACTTTATAGCTTAAAAACCACCAAGTTATAAGTAAAAACCAATCAAATCACATATTTTAGGAGATATCAGAACGCATATACTAAGGCAGATACATACTTTCAACCATCCTTACAAACTTATACGGATTGTTTTTAAGTTGAAATAAAATAAATTCATTTTGATTTAAAAAATTATTGTATTTATAGTTTCAACGAAAAAAAAATACTACAACTATTTAAATTTCTTTGCAAGGGATAGTTTTTATAAGAATAGAAATTATGTGGTAATAAATTAAAATAGTAATCTAAATTTAATGTTGCTTAAATAATTCCAAATTACTTAAATTTGCAACTATATGATTTTTTCTAATAGGGGTCGTTTCCACCCCTAAAAAATTAAATACAATCAACGGGACAAGTCCTGTTTTAAAGTGGAGGATAAGTATAACCTAAATCCAAATTTCCTTGCAAATCGGTGGAGACAAGATATTCAATGACATTGTTTTAATTATAACTTATCTAAGGGGTAAAATTTGGGAGTTAAATTGTTTCTTATATTCTTGTGGGATTTCTTATATTCCAGTCGTCAGAGACGAAAATGTCACTCCTACATCTAATAACCATACGAACAACATACAAAAAATCTTTAACTCTGCTAGGAAAAGTGGTTTCCAATCGGTTATTCTGGATTTAGCTGAAGTGATACGACTTAAAAAAAATTCCTCTGCATAAATATTTGTTTGATTTACAATGTGATTTAGTAATTCATCAGTTACAAGCAAACTGAAAAAATCATACGGATTATTACTCACAGGTGGTGGTACACGAAATCCAGGTATTCCAGTATAATCAATTGTTTTCAAATCAGGATTGTTAATCCAGTCTGGAAATAATAATCTTGTTTGAGGGATATCGTCATCGTCGTTGCTAAAAACATTGTCAGGATCATTCACAATATCAGCCTCAACTTTATCGCTGTCAGCATTATCATCCTCCTCCGACCAAGAATCATCTGATGGAGTTACTAGATCTTCCTCTGAACTTTCCCACAATGAATCTGTTAATTCTTGCAGCTGTTTACTCGACAATAGGATCTTCACATCACGTTCTCTACATACACGCTTCGAACTAGACGGTCCTGCAACGTCACCATCCATAACTATATAAAAAAAAAACATAAAAAATCGGTGGAGACAAGGTATTCAATGACATTGTTTTAATTATAACTAATCTAAGGGGTGAAATTTGGGAGTTAAATTGTTTCTTATATTCTTGTGGGGTTTCTTATATTTCAGTCGCCAGAGACGAAAATGTCACTCCTACATCTAATAATCATACGAACAAGCCGAATTTTGCTAAAAACGTGAATTTTAGGACCACAAAAAAGGTACAAAAAAGTTTACCACTTCTACCCCGGCTTACCCTTAAAACAACTGCTCGTATTTTGGAAAAAACGAAAAAAATTGATTAACTAAGAATCAGTACGCCGTAAAAAAATATTTCAAATAAAAAATATAACTGAGATAATTTTGAATAAAAATGTATATTGGCACTTTTTATGTAGAATGAACTGTTTTCTCAGAAACAACGCTTGAATCGACTTGCTATTTTGAATTTCGTGCGTTAAAAGTTACGCGCGCGCAATCAATTTTAAATAAAATTTGTATCAACACGACGGTGAAATTTAATATCTTTTGGTCAGATTGTTCTATCGACAAAAATCAAAATGCATTTTAAATGTGAAAAGTGTGGAAAAGTTACTATGTGGAGCAGAAGCAACTATTGGATATCCAATGGACAAACAAACAGCAGCTAGATTGGCTACTCCTGCTAAGAATTTCTCCCTCAAATCTTCTGGTTTAATGTCCAAAAAGCCTGGAGCAAATACAGTGACTGAGTCATAGACTTGCTCAACTTGAAGACCATATAAGGAGGGAGAAATGTTTAACATGTTAAGTAATCTGGCTTCGGAAACTCATACTTTATCTCCAGGTTTAAGAATGTGGACATCATTGATGATTTCAATAGTACTCTTCGAAATCTTGGTTGGGATACTTAAAGCCTGGAAGAAAGAAGTTGTCTCAGGGTACAATCCAAAATTTTGGGCAGGAATGGTGACAGATAATGGAGCAATGGCACCAGCTCTAGCAAGTGCCTTGACTTTGTTTTCCAATAGTTTGTCTCTGATTTTAACCAAGTCATCTCGGGTGAAAACAAAACCTACATTACCCTTGATGTGGGGCAAGATCTTTTCCAGAGCATGGATGTACTTTTTGCATTTTGCCGCAAATAAAGTCAATTTGTATAAAAGTGTGAAATAGATAAATGTTGCGCGAGTTTTGCCATTTTTACAATCCCCATTAGATTAATAAAATTTATTGATCGCTTTTATTGTCCGGACGCTGTGGAGTTTTAAATGTTAGGATCTAATCTTCAAAACCTATAGCAAAAACTTCATGTTTTACAAATTAATTGCTCCAAACATATTTTTCTTCGATATTTAAAAATGGTGCTTTAATTTTGGGCAGTAGATTATGAGTACTGATTTTCCAGCAGAATATTATAATTGGTCACGGTCCTAACATCATAAAGGTACTGATAAAATAGTCAACTAATGTACAAGTACCGTTAAAGCGCACTCGTTTAATCGGATTCACACATATTTAATTTCTTTACACCTCGTAACGCCACTCTTACTCAAGGCCGTCCCTGACATTGCAACTCCCGATGTGTATATATAATTCACGAATGGTACTATCTACACACCCGGTACCCCTCCACGCGTTTTCAACCTACTTGGATAAGACGTTTTCTCTAAATATACCAAATCGTTTTACAAATATACTTTCCGACCAATTCTTTAGATCACTCTCTTGCCAAAAACCACCGAATACAGTACGAATATCCACCATTAACACCGTTATTCCGTTAATCATTTTTAATATCTAAAATTTTTCGGTTAACTATTTTTCGGTGTTTAAATTTTTGGCGGGTTTTGTGAAGTGTCGCTTTAACCATGCAATGGAAAGATCAGAAGTTGTAGAATTCATACTACGGTTTTTGCTTGTTTGAAAAGTGAATTTGCTACGGAAAAACTATTAAATTAAAAAGTGTTTTTTGGAATTATTTTTAAAAAGTGAGTAGTAGTATTTTATTCCTCTACTATCTTTTTTAATAAATATTGTTTAATGAATTCGCCCACAACCTTTGAAATCATTTTTAAGACGTCAATTTTGTTAACGTTTTTGTTTTGTTTCGAGAATAAACAATTGATTCATGTAGTACTTTTAGTTATTAAGAAATAGCAAGATATAACGTACTTTTGTTAGTTTTTCGGACTAATGAACTTTTTTGATTTTTGTTTTAAATAAACAACAATTAAAATTTAAACTCTTTATTTGACGCTTTGGATTAAAGTTAGAAAGATGTTACCAAAAAAGAGTTTTTAAAAGTTTAGTCAAAATTATCTGTAAAAAATACCTAATAAGACCTAATAAGTCTAACTGAATTTAATAAAGTGTTTCAAAAATTATTGAAACCAACAAGAATTAAAAAAAAAACACATTATTTATTTATGTCTTTACTGTCTATTTAAGTACTTACATGAAAAATTAACGTAAGAGGAAATTTTCTTAATTCAAAACAATGATCAATATAAAAGATTTTTATTTTTTCTTTTTACGAAATTTTTCCATCTAGTTGAATGCAAAATTTGCATGTGAGCTAAATTTGTATTTGGTATTAATTTTTTAAATGTAATACAGTCAAACATACGTAAAACGAATCGTATGTCTGTCAACAATTCTTCGAGATAAAATGGATTCTACTGTATTTGGGAATCTTTTTTAACTCTTCTTACAACATACCTTGGACCCAGCTTGCACCTATTCTTGTGGGATTTAGAAGCTGTGTAGAATTTTTAACGTTGACTGCAATTTTGATAAACTGCAATCTGTTTTAAATATCTTGTTATTTTGGCTTTCCTTTTACTTTTGGCTATCTATTTGTAAACCTTTATTCATGTTTTTAAATTCTACATCTCCTTTATCTTATTCGCAGCCTTCTGTTGTCCATTTTTAGATATTCCAACCCATTTCATTGGTCTCTATTCTAAGCAACATACTTCAAATTCGTTACGGTTACTCTTTTCATGTCATCTAACCATCTTATCTGTGGTCTGCCTCTTTGTCGTCTACCTTTGTAAGGTGTCCAATGTTGTATTGAGGTGTTCCAACGTTGGTCTTTTTATCTAACAGTGACGTCTACGAAACTCATTTGAAGTAGTTCCTTATCATACTACAGCCTATACGGCGCAGGATATCTTATTCCGTTATTTGTAATACTTACGCATGATTTGAATGTATCTTTATTCCTTACATGACATCCTGATACATAAACCTCTTTACTAGCATGTTTTCTTATAATATTTTAACTGGATGTTTCTACCCCCAGATATTCGAATCCTGAGACTTGTTTTATTATTTTATCATTAATGACTATTTTACATGGTTTGAGTTCCATTGTCAGCACTAAAGATTTAGTCGTAGATATTGATAGTTTCATATTGTATGTATCGGTTGCTGTTTTGAATGTTTGTACTATTTCTTATTCGGGATGAGTATTGTCCTGCTAATTTTAGTGTTTCCCTGTCAGATTTTCAAGTTGATATCTATTTCATACTTTTATTTTAGTTACGTTTTTAATGTTAATATATTTAATCTTTACTACTGTGCTGGACTGGTCAAATCAACAAAGCGAATATACACAGTTTTACTATAATATATGTTCATATTCTAATATTCCTCACTCACTGATTTGATATTTGCTTGTTGTTTAACGTTCCCTTTCCTCTATACATTCAATTCTTTCTTCCCCCCATATTTTAAGATATTTGGTATACTATCGTATCTGGGACTTTCCGGTTTTTAACTTACGTAATATGCTATCTGAGATTTCTTCTTTTGTACCATCACTTTCTCTTTCTTCTGCTTCTATAGGCATAATACTATTCCTATTGTTAACTTCTTTTAAATAAGTTAGGTATGGATCTGCTCATATTTTGTTTAGATTTTTATATTCATTATTTACTTTTTTTATCCCTTTAAGGATTTTTTTAAACTGATCATTCTCTCAAGGTCACTCATATATTCCGTATGTTTTCTTTATAAGTGTTAGCTTAAAATTTATATAGTTCAGCGTACCTTTGTACTGTTGGTAGGTGTTATTTTAATGCTGTAGTATAGTAGGTCTGCTGTCTTCTTCTCGTAAATCTCTGATTTAGGTGATGGACCATAGCTTTGACATTTTTGTTGCGTTTAATTAAATTTTATGACTGCTGTACTTTCTTTTACGGGTCCTTTTTATTATGTTACATTCTATTTTTACACAAATCTCGTATAAATGTTTCTCTTTTGTTATCGGGCTTGTAACAAATATTTTCTAAGCTTTTTTTTTAACGGCCATTTCATAGTGAAATCATCTATTTTGTAGAAACTATATTAAATGATTTTAGGCTCATACTTTGGGGATATTTTTAGATATTATTTTTTTATTTGTTACTATATAGTCTTTTGTTAACAGAAGATCTGATGTATTCTGCCACGGTATTTGTGTTAAATTTTGTGGAATAACTTGAAAAAAATTGAGGTGCTTATTCTCAAAATGTTACAAGTGAGTTCTAGGTTCAGCTTTCACTGTATAACATTTGATTACATTTTTTAGCATGAAGATATTTTAGTTGTTTCCTCTTTTAGTGGTTTTTTTTCCAATTCTTATTATGTTTAACCAGATTTATCTTAATCGTTCTAGTAGATTCTTTCTCTGTCTTGATAGTAATATTTATGATTTTATCAATTGATATATTTTTTACTAATATCTCTATAAACAAGCATAAATAAATTTCATTCTACTTTGTATATCGTATTGGATTTGTAAAACGGTACTTTCTTCAAAACTAACATTCCATCTGTGTTGTAGCTCTTTTATTAATATTTAACTTGCTCTGCGGTAAATTATAATACTGGGTATTCAAAGTTTATCAGTGAATTTTTAGTTAATTAGTTCATTTTATTAATGTATATTTTATAAATTTTCGTTCCAATGATTCTTGATGCGTACAATGTTACAGACATAAGTAAATACATAAATATGATTTTTAATTATAAGTACAGTATGTTGCCTGATGGTAAAAACTTCCTGCTTTTGCCATATACATGATATGGAGAAAAGCAAAAAGACTTAATATTTTTTCTTGCTCTTTTCTTTAATTATTTTCACTTGCTTTCTTCAAGATTTCTCTTCAAATAATAATTGGATATAATCATAGATAGTATGATGTAACTCCCATAACCTATTCTGTAGATTTTAGTACCAAGGTATTTTACACTCTATTGGTTCTTCTTCTTCTTATTTTTATCTCTTTATAAGCAATTCTGCTTATAAAGAGGTATCCGCCTCTATGGAAGGTTGTCACGCCATCTTTTGCGCGATCGTCCAATATTTCTTCGGCCGATTGGTGATTTATCTCGTGTTATTTAGATCACATTGTTCTTCACCATTCCGCTTATGTGGTTATTCCATTCTTTTTTCTATTTAGTAAAAAAGTAAAGTTCGTGTAATCTTCTGGCTAAGGTCTAGTGTTAGGGTTATCAGGTCGCGCAAGAGTCCCTAACATGACTTAACCACTACTTTCGTAGCCGGGACCGACAGCTTTACGTGCCCTCCGAAGCACGGTGGCAGCTTAGTTAAATTAGAAATTGAAAATTTTGTCGGAGTCGGGATTTGAACCCGGGCCCACCAGCTTGTTAAGCCAGTAACATGCCCACTAAGCTACGGCTGCCACTTTTATTTAGTATTCACTATACGTTACATTTTCTTCTAATTTCTTCACTTTTCTTTTGACCTCTCAGCTTATTTCCTGTAATTCTTTTCAATACTCTCATCTCTGTCGTGTCCAGTAGCCTTTGCGTTGTGGTTGTATCAGGTTTTGTTCGTAACGCGTATATTATTATTGGTCTTACATTGGCTTTATAAATTCTTGACTTCATCTCAGTGTTAATGTGTCTGTTTCACCATATAGTGTTATTAAGGCATCTTGCCAGTCTATTCGCGTTTTGTAATTGATCTTTCATTTCCTTATCTGTGTCTCCATAGCTGAACAGTGTTGTTCAATACTGATGCCATTAATTTCTACTTTATATCTGATTTGTTCTTTGCTAATTACTATTGTTTTAGTTTTCTGAGATGAGATTGTCATATTAAATTATTTTACTCTTATGTTAAATTGCTAGGTCAGTCTTTGCAAAATATCTTCATCTTATGCAATCAATATTGCGTCGTCTGCGACACAAAGTATTTTTACTTTTTTGTTTTCCATCCTCTTTATTTGTTAACGCTTTACTGATTTCATTTATGATTAAATTGAAAAGCAATCCCCTCTGTGGCTTAGTGGTAAGAGCGCCTATCTTTAAACCTAAAGGTCGTGAGTTCGAATCTCATCTGGGTGGAGAAATTTTCGTTTATTAAAAATTAATGAATGAAAAATAATTTCTATCCTTGTACGATCGGTACTCACCGGAGGGACCGCAGACGTTCGGATACAAATAGCCTCTCTTAGCAAAGACAATGATGTCGACTTTTCTAAGTATCAAGACAATTATTCTACACACACACACTACACTAGGTACCTGACTATACCATGCCAATAATCTTAGTTGTCGAGGCATTAACTCAATAATAAAAAAAATTGAAAAGCATAGGGTTCAATGAGTTCCCCTGTCTTATTTCGCCACCTATTTCCATAGGTTCTATAAGTTGTCCATCTATTCTCTCTTCCATTCTGTTGTTTTGTTAGATGTTTTTAATAGTTTCTATGATATTTAGGGAAACTTCTATTTTACAAAAGATGGATAACTTCTTTAAGTCTTATTCTGTCAAATACTGTTTTAAAATCAATCAGACACACAAATGCTGGTGTATTATACTCTAGTGATTTCTGAGTAATTTGCTTTATGACGAATGTTGCATCTGTACTCATTCTTCCAGTACGAAAACCCTGTTGTTCTTAAACTAAACGTATCCTTTGACGCATTAGTTCTTAAAAAATTTTAGTTGTAAGTTTTAGGGTAGTATTTCCTTAATGTATTACCTGTATTACCTTTTTAGTTCTTTGTCTTATTTCCGTTTTTTTTTCAATTATATTGAGACATAAACTTTCATTATATGACTATTAAAATAGTAGTATAAATGCATTCTTGGTATTTGTTGTTTGTTATTATTTGGGATATTTTATAAATGTCATTTGTAAACAAAATTTTCTGCTTAATAATTTATCGCCTTCTATTTTTAATTGCTGTCTCTTATCAGAAATTGAATAGGTACTATTATCGCTATTTTTACTTTGCTCGCATCAGCTCTAAAAACTGTCATTGAACTACATTTAACACCGTCTCATATGAATTCAGTCTCAATTAAATCGTGATATTATTCTTCTCTTAACATTTTTGTTTACACCTTATGGGCCTAGTGGCGTTGTCTGTCACTGTTCTTCACTCTTTCTTTCTGTATTGTGAATTTTAAGTCAATAGGTCGAAGATCATCAAAGTTAAATGCCCTTAAGAAATAAATACACGGTGTGTCAAACATGATTTTAAGAGTTAGCTCTTTCCTCATTACCTATCCATTTTATATTTGACAATATCGGTTTTCTACAGCGTAGTAGGAATTAGAGATAATTAAATTTTGATTAGAAATTTGTTGATTTTTTTAATGTCATGTGAAAACTATTGATTATTCACGGAATAAAATTGATAACGTGCATTAAACTATGTTTTATAGTATAGTCACTGAAGGTTTTCACTCTGATTTCGTTGAACTTCCATCGATTTTCATGAAAATTGGTGAGTAGTTAGAGAATGCCTTTGGAAACAAAAGTGACATGGTGTCAACTTGCGCTTTACACCTCTTCTTGGGGGTGGAAATTATTTTATTAAAAATAACCACAGGAATCGATAGAGGGACAAAATCTAAACAAAATTTATTTTATAAAGTTATTAAAATGAGTTAATGCTTTTTGAGTTATTGAAGATCAAATATTTTGATTTTTCGTGAAAAAAATGCATGTTTTAAAGCGGGTTTTCATAAATAACTCAAAAACTATAAGTTGATATAAAAATTTACCATTTTTTCATTACCAAAATTAAAGCTAATAAAAAATTGAATAAGTTCCTTGTTTGAAAAACCTTTAAAAATGATTCAAAGTGAGTTATAGGTAATTAAATGTATTTTTTTTTCGACGAGTACAGACTGAAATCTGAATATTCAAGCTTAGATAACGGGGAAAAATGCATTTTATTAAATATACTTATTTAACAATTTTCAAAGGACTTAGAAAAACCTATAAAATGAGCTCTAGAAAAAGTTGATAGCATCAAAATTAAGCAAGTTATGATGAAAATTCGAATTCGAATTTTTTTGGAAAAATGAAAAATAAAACATATGCCATTTTCACAAAAATTAAAATTTATAATAATCCCTATAAGACTTTTTTTATTTTAGCATAAGTAATGACCTCAAAAATTTTGACTGGTTTAGAATGCATATTTTTGAAAAAAAAAAATTTGATTTAAAAAAATCAGAATTTTTCAAATTTTCATAAATTTCATTTTCTTTTGAGAATAACTCAATATACTTCAAAAATGATAAAGAACAAAATTTGAGGTTTTTTTTTAACAAAGATTTTCCTTTTTTTATATTTTTGTAAGAGAAAAAATAACTGAGGAGCCCTTTAACCTTTTAACATTTTTAAAAAAATAAGAAATTTAAAAGATTAAATTTAATACGACTTTATAACCCTTGAAATTACCTTTTAAATGGTTTTTGAATGATCCTGATATCATAATAATTAACGGAGGTATTGTAAAAAAAATAACATTTTTTTAGAAAAATTTTTGGAGCTGAGATTTTGTGATTAAAGGCCTGATTTGAGAGAAAAGATCGATATA